ATTTCTTTTCAATAGTTCCTCACGTCACTTATGAGGTACTATTGCTAACGCGTTTTTTTCAAGTGGCATCCCCAATAAACTTAGTCCACTGATAATTGAAAAGATTAACCATTGAGAAGAAATATTCACGATTAAAATAAAAATGTAATAAGAAATATAGCATGTTTAAAAAAATCCACAGGTCTTTTGATTTTTCTCCCTTACGAGCCCCATAGCACGACATGCGGTGATCACGCTCCTGAGACTCGAACGGCCCGTCGGCTGCGCGCGGAACGACGAAGCGCAAGGGAATCTGGGAACAACACGAGATGTTGCATCCCGAAAATCGGTTGGAAAGCGCATCGCTTGTCGAGTTTTGGTCTGCGTATATTGTCTTTACTCTCGGTCTGTATGTATTGTCCATACGTAATAATCCGCATCGCGATGTATTCGTCGATCGTCTCGCAACATAATTACTCGGTTAACGCGACGCGTGCGAGGCTGTAACAACGGGCAAAAAAATGCACGTCATATTCCGTAAAGCGTCATAACCTGCCAATGGCCGAGCGATTACAACAATCAACGCTCAAAACAGTCGTGACCTTCGCGTTGCGGTCAAACGTACCCTCGGGCGTTTATAGACTTGCAGGAATTTCTGTTGTGCTTCGAGACGCCGGCTGACTCGTGTGTGATAGTGTATGTGTGTCGATAGGTTAGTCGTCATTCGCGTTCAGTGGTTAAAGTATTTCGTCCGCTCTTGAAATACGTAACGGCCATTCGTTACCGCGCGTTTCTCTGATCGAATCGTCGTGTCCACGCGAGTGTCAGTGCCACGAGCGAATATTTGGATTAACACCACGGAATAGGCCAGGATGCTGAATCAGGAAGCAGGATGCTGGGACATAGCGATATATCATATATTTCCAGGTGTGTAAAGTCACTTATTACACAAGCGATTTCCGAGTTTAAAGAAGATAGCCGAAAGTAAAGAAATATTCGGGACGAAATTAGGCCGATTTTTACAATGCATTATGATTTGACAAATAATTATTGCTTCGTTGGACTCCGATTATTCACTAATTTGTATTTATTGCGTGTAATAAAAAACTTGAATTCAAATGAAATATTAAGATAGTCAAATATTAAATAATTCCGGAATAAGTATTTTGTTAAGATTCACATACATAGACACATACGTAACTTGCCTAATCCTGCTAAACAATTATAACATATTTATCAGATTCTATAACATATATCGTTTTCGGTATATGCAGCGTGAATTGAAAATAGCATAAAAATAGCCCGAAATAGAGAATGTGTTAATGCTCGTCGAAACGTATTACGCTGAAAAATGAGTTTAGTTGGATCTACCTGACAACAACGGACAACCAAACTCATTTTTCAGTGTAGGTTATAATAATCCATCATTACTTTTACTATTTTCTAATGAATCTACTGTCATCATTAACACTTTCATTATTTTCTTGATATTTATCAATTGACTCAATCTTTCATTTGTATATTGATTAGGCATTTTGAAGATTAATTATCAGTCAATTTTTAAGCGCTATAAGCACACAAGTTATAAATTATAAGGAATAGAATTTCGACAATGTGTTCCTAATCCTAGTTCTTTATTCTTTTATTGTGGATTGAAGCATGGTGGTCCACGTATCCTGTGTTTAATTCCTTCCTACATTTCCAATCTATATTTAATTTCTTCTTCCTTATTCTTTTTATGTCTGAGCCCTTAATGGAATGTCGTAGAAAAGAATACGCTCTGTGCTTTATATCTTCTGTGTTCTTTCTCGTTCGCGCATAAACACGCGTATAGACCACGCGAGCGATTAAATAGCATAAAAATTTCGACTTTGCGCTATTTAAACACAGTGGTCGACGGAAAACGCCGAAAGCAGGGAATTCGTCGATTACGTAGTTTCACTTACCGTGAGTCAATAAAATCCGAGACAGCAGTTCATTTAGCCGCAAATTTGCAATTTACACCATTTCCCATCGCGCGGGTAGATCCGCTCTATCCCCGCGAATCCTCGCGCCATTCCACAAATCTTGAATCTCTTAATGCCTGAAATACGGGACCGCTTAACAGCGTGTCGAATCCAACACGCGAATAACCGTGATTTATCGGCGGGGGAGAATCAAACGGCTCGCGGATGCGATTCGACGGCTGTGCACGGTCGCGTATATACTCGGACGGATTTATGGTCGAAAACGATATCTTCCGAAAAGGACGGCCCGCCGCATAAATTACGCGCTCTGCTATTTTCTTTTTAATCCGAAACAAACGACGGTCGCTTGCTTCTGCCGGAGTAAAAGCGCAGCCAGATTCGAAGCGTATCTCTTTTCCCGCCTCGCCACGCCTTCTCCCGCTGTTCTTTTAATTTACATTCACGAGCAGGACGCGAAAAGATACGCCGCAGACGCGAAATTAGGTAGAAAATGGCGGACCTTTCCAGTCTAGATTACGAACATTCTGGCCGACAAATAGCGTCGGTGGTGAAATTCTACGTATCTTTTGTCGTTTAATCTCACGCTGGAAAAGTTTCGCGTTCAAAGCGAGAGCGCGACGCGACCGTTCCACCGAGAATGACGCGTCGCGCTCGCAGCGTCCCGGATTTTCCGCTATTTCCGGAGCCGATGATCGACAGAAATCGGGGAAAAATTGAGGGGAAAAAATCCGCGGCTCGCGGAGACAGGAATTCGGGAGCTCCGTGGCGTAAATTATGAGACGAATCGGTGACGTTGACTGAGCCGCTCCGAACTTTACATACACGCGCGCACGCGTATATAGAACCTGGTTACCGGCATGTGAACGGAATTAACTGAGGTGTAAGATGGCCTGATCCATCCCCCGACGTTTATATTGACTTAATTTATTAGCCTATGCCAACCAGATTGCGATTGACTAGCGCGGCAATGTAAAAACAAACGTTGTTCTTTTCACCGCCGGTTTCGATTGCACCTAATTGCAAAAAGTACGCTATTTCTTGCCGCACATGCTGCATGTGCGCACACATTGAAAGAGAAAGACGTAGTAATATTTATTAAATACGTCTAGTTGGAGATTTCCGAAATATTTGATAACTGTATGACGAAATTTGATATTAATTATCATGTATTTAATCGGTCAGTATAAACGAATGTCAGTATAAACGAATTTTTTATTCAGATAGTTAAATCAATTCAATAAAATAATAATAGCTATCAAACATTTGTTCTCAACGTTTTGATGATTATTATTAGATATTTGTGATAAGTGTCGTGAAATTATTCAATTTCAATTTCATAGAATACTCAGAAATTATTAATATTTACATTGTTAAGGCAGAGCTAGATATTTGGTAACTATATAGAAAAAAGTAGTAGATTTAAATAAACATTGATAGTATTTTTAAAAATATCAAAATTTTCATAGCAGCGCACGAACTGCTGTTTTACAAAATACCCTCCGTCCTCCCCAATCGTTGTGCCTCGCAACGAGAGTCATCGCGGCAACGGCTTTCATTAGCTCCATTCGCGCTCCTCTACCGCTCGTTTCAAGAGAAACTAGAGAGGAGGCGAAACTCGCTCGCGGGAACTGGTGAGATAAATTCGCGCTGATAACAGCGTTAATCAACGCGCTGAGAATGTTCTTTTGTATCGAGATCTCCCCGTAAGCATGCCCGCTTCGTTATTACACGAGAGAGTCAGTCGGGGGTATGTAAAATCAAGTAGTTCGTGAAACGAGCATCTCGCGACACGTCGCGCTTTTCCGGAGATCGCGACGCGCGCGACGGCTGTTGCTCGCGCTCTACCCCGCATTTTGCGTAGTCATGGCGCGGACTACGCATTGACCCCGATTTCCAAATGCATAGTACCCTCAACCACCACGAAGTACAGATGCGCGAACGGCCGTGCATGAAACGGTTCTAAGCATGCTTCCTCCTTTCGCGTCCCGTCGCCAAACTTGTAACAGATTAAGGGTGACTTTCACCAAACTCTAAACCGATGAGTAATAATAAAAACAATAGGTTTAGCTAATTGAATAATAATAAGAATCGTCGCCACCGATCCTCAGTTCTGCAACTTGTCGTTGAACAATAACACTCGTCAGCATAAAAATTGTATCTCGGATCTAAATCGTCAATTCCAGTTAATTTTATGACGTTAATCACAAATATAACAATTACAATGAAAATTTAGCTCTAGTTTCTGTCAATAAACAACTATCGACAGAAAATTTGATATTTGTGACTTTCATAATGTGAAGAAAAGGAAATACCTTCAAATGTCATTTTTTTAAAGCCTAATCTTTTATTTTAAGATGATATGCATAACAGTCTTATAAAAGTTTATGAATAAGATGTATGTTTCAATTTCCTGTAGGAAGGTAGAGACTCTTTCTATTCTTTCATTGCAACAGCGAGACAGAGCAGGTAGCACTTGACCGACAGTAATTTCAAATTTACTTGATTAGTTGCATTAACCATAGTTCGGCGGAAGTCACTCTAACGAAGAGACATTTCTCTGGCCCCGGGCGAGAGCCGAGTAACAAAATTCACCCGGCCAAACGGAGGCAAAGCGGGGCCGCGCTCGCCCCGAATTTGACATTGTCGTTGCGGGGGGGAAACGAGCAAGGGGGGCGGTAGTTCGCGCGCCGCAATGCAACTCGTGGTGTGCTCGGGATCGCGACCGTCCGCGAAATAGCCGCGGTGTACCACCGCCGATGTACACGAGACGCACACAGGATCTCCGAGAGAAGTTCTACGGACAAACGCGTGGAAACGCGAGGCCCAGAAATTCGAACGCGAGTCCCGGGCGGTGGTGATCATTTCGACGCGCGCGTCCTGCGAACGAACCCGTGTGCTCCCTCGGTCGCGCGCACGCGTTGAGGCACGCACACACACGCAAGTGCACGGGCACCCACGCGGGCACACGTGTACCCACCGCGCGGCGATCGGCTTGAGCGCGGGAGGTGCACCGACAGGCTGGTGTACGCTGAGGCGCCTCAGTCGACCGCCACCCTCCGTGACCGACGGTTCGTTCGTGTCGTTCTCCATCTCGCCGGAGACACAGAGAGGAAAAAGAAAAAAAAAGAGAAGAAGATAGAGAGGTAGAAGAGAGGGGAGAGAGAAGGAAGGAGCAAGAGGAGAGGGTCACACACCTGCCGGAGTGTTTATTCTTTGCCGTGCGAGCTCCAGCTGAAATACGTCCCGAGAGAAAGAGATTTCGGAGCGTTCTCTATCTCTCTCTTTCTTTCTCTCTCTCTCTCGAGAGAGAGTGCGTCCCGACATTCGGTGCGTGCGAACCGCGAGCGGAAGGTGGACGGGGGATGCGTGTTGAGGGTGCATTGCCCATAGGAAATATCTATTCGTCCCTTTCGTAGTGTGAATTAACATGCGCCACCGAGTTTGAAAAGCGGACGAGCCGACGAACTCTGAGGCCCGAATTCGAGAAACGACGTTGTCTAAATAATCGTGAGTACAAATTCGACTAGAATTATTAATCGGGGCCAGGCTGGCTCGAGTCTCGGTCGCGGGAATATTGTGTCGGGGGTGAAATTTCCGTCGTGGAATCCCTCCGGATGCGAAATCCAAATACACTTTCAGATCGTCCTCGTCACTTATGGTTTTCGCAGAGTAAACGTTCTACATTATAATACCGTAAAATTACCGTATCTTTACGATATACTATATTTTCAATTTTTTCGACTTTCTTCTTACTTCACGGAAAAAAATACCATCGAATCAATAGAATTTCCAACAGCACGCATAATTGGAATAAATCTTGTTGATTCAATAGCGATATCATTGAAACTATTACTTTAATTATTGAAACAATACATAACATAGTAGCTTTAATGATATTTGCCATTGAATCAAGAAGATTTACTCCAATTACGCTGATGTTGGAAATTTTATTGATTTAACAGCATTTTTTTCCATCTTCAAAAACATTCTTTGAATGTGTAGCGTCTGTAATATAATCGTCCAACACATCGGGCTTCCATTTGTCTCGGTAGCAAAAGTGTGTTCCAAAAGCCAATTTACTTTGATCTTTGGATTTTGCCTAAAAAAATCATAGAAAGCACTTGAAACGTAGCGTATGAAATATCAGTGTTTATCATCAGTGTTTTGTGTTTTATATGACAGCAAAGATGGCGATGAGTTATCATTATTTTTCCGGAATAACGCTTGTTTTAACCCAATTATTACGGTCCGTTATTCCCGCTAAGAGTGGATTTATGTTCGCGACAGAGTAATTACCGCTCTCGTCAACCCGCGAATTGTACATTCGCGTGGAACTGCATTGCAATATACAGAATAATCTCCGAAGCGACCGGAGAGAATAAAATTCATAGTGCGAATTAATTGCTCTCTCATATCTCAACAATTATTCTCTATTACTAGCCGACGTTGAAGTCAAGTTTAGCGCGTAGGAAAACCATCGCGTGTCGTCGCGAGCGGAAGAGACGAGTTTCGAGAAGGAGAACGCGCAATCGTTTCCGCCGGACCCGACCGCGTTAGAGTTCCGACTGTCTCCGAGAGCTTTGAGGAAAACGGTCCGCGTGAATTGCACGGGACATCCGTTGGCGTAGGAAAAGAAATCCGACGAGGTGAGCCACCGAGTGAACTCTCTGTATCGTCGCTCGTAACGCGAGCACGTAGACGCGGAAGCGCCGCGTCCATCCATTTAGAAGGCGAGCCGGCGGTGTGAATCAGCCACTTATCGCTCGAATTGTTCATTTCGTCGTCTCTCCCGCGTCTCCTCGCTTCCCGCGACCTTCGCTCTTCGGATTCTCGTCCCGCGGTAACGCGTATCGACGGTCGTGTACGGAATCTTCGGCCGCGCACGGCTACGCCCGAAACTCCCTTCCGCCACGTCGAATTGAATTAAAAACTTTGCGTGCCGACACTTTGAAACGCGGCCTTACACGCGAGCGATCCCCGTCTCACGTAACAGCGTGCCGGCGTCGAACTTCGACTTCGCTCATCCTCCGTCCTCGGGCTGCGAGCGCTCGTTCCTCCGACGTTTTATCGACGCGAAGATTTCGAGACGCTCTCTCGCGTTAGCACCTGCGACACGCCGCGCTCCCCGCCGAATTCGTTCCACCCACTCGGCAGTCGCACAAGCGAGCACTCGACACGAGAGTTCGCGGAATCGAAAGTATCCGGTCCGCTGAGCTCGTTAGAGACCCGCGTAAAATCTGCGTTCTCCGTACTTTCCGCTTAACGAGGATAACGAAGCGTACGTTAACGGGGAATTAACGAGCGCCATCGTGCGCGCGCACGCGCGCGAGATCGCACGTGAAGACGAACGCGCGTTCGTTCATTCAGGTGAACATAGATGCACGAGGCACTCCGAAGACGAAGACAGGAACGCGCGCTCCTGTCGTTGTCCCTTGATCACGGTTGAAGCTTCGACGCGGTAATTTCGCGCGAGGTCGAGCGCCGCTGCCGCTATCGTTGCCCTAAATCGGGTTAAGTACCTGCACGCTTCTCAGGGCGGACGCTCTCGTCTCGATACGCTCGTGCGAGGTCGCTATGAAACGTGTAAACCCCGGGGTTTTTGTGCAGCGCCGGCAATCTTTCGGGACAAGATGAAAAATGACTCGACGAAACTTTCAGGCTGCCGGACGCGCGACGGATCGAGAGCGGCCGAGTTCCGCGCGTCAAGAACTTAAGGTGGGTTGGTCCGTTAAACCGTTTTCTTGGGGATTCTTTTTAAATTTTAGCTGCATATATTCATGGAAATACTAGCTACAATTCTGTAAAGTTAGAAATCGATTGACTATTCGGAAGCTGAGATATTCGCAACTGAAGATCACGCTTTTTACACGTGTTCCTTGAGGTTAATGTCGTACTTTTAATTTCTGTTTTTCATTTCTTCTAAACCACATTTAGGATTTTGATGAAAAACTACTGTGATTTTAAGGACTAATATAGAGACATTATAAAAAAATTTTAGAATTTTTTATCATTTTATTTTGAAAATATAGCCGAGAGCAATTTACAATTTACAGTAATATGTGCACTTACATTAGTTGGACCGACGTATAAGTAAACATTTAAATAAACATAATGAGAAACATAAAAAAAGATAATATCTCCGTGTCTATAATATGAACGATAATTGTTATTAAAATAACCAGACAAATTGAATTACATGCATTCTGTTTAAAATAATCAGACAAATTTTGATATGCGCAATAGTAATTAAATTATATTCATAATTTCGATTAGAAATTTTATTATTTGTTTTCTAAGATGTATGATAATATATTACCTGAAATTAATCGATTACATGGTATATTGTATTTGAAAAGGACGCCTATCTCAGGGGATCGATTCTAGGACCCCTGGATTGTGAGTCATCTATTTAATGTGCTACGCCACTCCTTTAACTGATAGATACATTATGTATTATGTTATATACAGTATAATCAATACTAAAAATTAAATGCTTTGATATTCACGCGCGTAAGATATTCAGAAATAGAGTAATTTTTTTCCATTCTCTCACTATTAATGTCAGTTAATAAAGTTGTTTCTCGCGATGTATCCACTTAATGTATCATTCGTGCTCTTTTTGCCGTGCAGTCATAATTACCAGACATTTGCATAGTATTTCTGTACACATAATAAGGAAACTCTGGTCGGTATTGCATCTAAATGTTCTAATTGCGTATTAGAATACTTGGTTACAATAACCAGAAATTCTATTTAGTTCTATCAAACTTATTTAGGCGTCTCACGTTAATCGAATCACACTCTTCCTTCTCGTAGTCATAATAACAGGATGTTTACACACGTAGCAACGAAACTCTGATTAATATTGCACATAAATGTTCTGGTTGCGTATTTCAGAATATTTGATTCTAATAACCAGAAGTTCTGTTTAGTTTCATAAGAACTTATGTAACTAAACATGTCTCGTTAATTCAACCGTCCTTTCCGTGACAGAATCACCAAAAGTTTCGGTCGATCGACGATCATCGAGAAAAGGGTGAATCTACGGATCAGTTAGCAATATGTTAACTGTGCGAGCGAGAGACTACCTAAGCAATACGTATGTCTAAGAGATGTTTTAAAGACGTCTCTTAGACGTCTTATTGTCTTAAAGACGTCTTTATAACGTTTTAATGTTATCTGGGTGCGTTTCTCGAATACCGCCGAGAAATTTGACCGTTCAACGTCAGCGCGGCGAACGGCATTAATACGCCCGATTATACATTCCTCGTGAAATGTACCTGTATTCAGATCTCACCTCGAATGACCCAGTTTCTTAGCGCTTCGCAGCGCTTCTCGACGCGATTGAAGCATTCCTTCCGACGTTAAATTGCAATTGCTCGCTTAAGCTCGCGATTACGTTACGCGCGCGCACTGCCACGCCAAAGAGCGGACGTAAAAGCGACCGTTCTGCGCGGAACGTTGAACTCCCGTGTCAAGATCATTACCTCGGCAACTAGGAAGCGGTTTCTTGCGTTGCACAGGTGACTGAGTACAAATGTGGACGCGTTAGTGCGAATAAGACACCGGTTAGCGCACGGGAGACACGGAAACCGGGTTTGGTGTCGCGGTCCTTTCGTGCGTCGCTTCGTCGCTGCTCTCTTCCGTCTTCGTTTCTTCGTCGTTCTTTCGCCTCTCACGAGCGCGTGAGAAAACGGATTTCCTGCGGATGGTTCGGACGTCGTGCGAAACGAGCAAAGGTTTTCCGCGCGGAAAGTGCTTCCGCGCGAACGCAACGCTGATCTGTTTGCTCTTCGTCGGACTTGACGTGGAGAAACCGAGGGACGCGATACGACGCCGCCTGCTACGTGTCTCTCTCTCTCTCTCTCTCTCTCTCTTTCATCTTTATAGACTTGCAAACGCGCACGTGGCGAGACTCGGGGATTTAGCAGAATATATTACACGAAATCTTACGATATAGAGAGAGAATTTGCGTGTACCTTTAGATACAATTTCGAAACAGAAGAGAAAGATACGGCGACAACGACCAGGCTTGGAATCTCGAGGTGAAAGAATCCAACGTTTCAGTCGACACTTTTATGACACTTTGTCGCTCTTAAGAATAGTTTGTATCTACTTAGTACTTAGTATTTATTTGCGACTTGTAGACTGATAAAAATCTACGTTGACAACACTTTTTTTTGTTAACTTCTCTCCTGCATCTTCAATTCTCTCTACATGGAAAAAATTAATATCAATTCAAGACTCGTATTTTTATATATCTTCATATAATATATAATTCTATTGGATTCTATGGATAAAGCTTACATGAAGAAACTCTAATTTCGGCTGAATTAATTATGTCTCTAAGCTCTAATGATTCTAAACTGGAAACTTTAATAACTCCAAATTCGTTCGACGACTAATATTAAATCACGCGCAAAAATATCAGCATGTCCGCAGTTGTACCGTCGTTATCATCGCATTCCGTATAGTCGACTTCCTCCGTAAGCCCGATTATGGTGCTA